ATTTCTCTGTATAGTATTGGAGGCTGTCAGTCCAGCCGGCCTTGAACTCACAGAGATCCGCCTGCCTCTGTCTCTCGAGTGCTGGGATTAAAGGTGTGCGCCACCACCGCCCGGCCCAAGTTCCAATTTTTTAAAGCAGTCCTTTTCATTGTTTATTTATTGGTATGTTTGCAGATTTAACTTGCACTTATGTATTTGCACCATGTGCATCCCTGGTGGCTGCGGATGCCAGAAAAGGGGATCAGGTCTCCTGAAGCTGGAGTTACCCACTGTTGTGAACCACCATGTGGGTTCCTATGTAAGAAGAAGCAATACTCTTAACTGCTGAGCCATTTCTCCAGCCACTCCCCCCCCATAAACCACTTCATGATTGGACTTAAAGCCAGCTCTGCAAGACAGAACACATGCCTGGGACCATTAACTGGGCTAAAAAAAACATTGCAGCTGAGAAGGTCATAGGCCATAGAGGAGAACCTAGTATTATTCTGTTCAATAGACAAGTTCTTATCTTTATACTCATAGGCCAGTACACCTCTCAACTTTCATCAAAGAAGCTGCTTTTTCAAGTAGGTGGTGATTAATGCAGCAACCAACAACTGGTCAACAGGCAGAGTAAGAGATTGTGGACTGCTCAACTCTAAATGGGACATCTGCATCGCATGCCCTCTCTACAGGGCTCGGGGATCCTTGTGGAAGAAAGACTGTAAGAGGGAGTGAACCATTGCGGTGAAACAGTGTTTGCCGTTGGATAGGGCCATCGCACTCATGAACTCATGGGGCTGGGACTGCATGCTCAAGATCACGCCAACCAAACCCTTAGCGTGGATGAGGGAGGGGCTCACGAAGAGCCACCCTTTCTGTGGTGCTACTGATAACTGATGACCACACAAACAGAGTCACCTTTCTCTAGGGATGCAGGCCCAGAGAAGCTACCCATGTTCCAGTAGATGGTCCCAGACCCATGCACACGTAGGCAGCACTGAATGGATTCAGTGGGTATAAAATTCAAGAGAAAGAGAGAGGGAGTGGGGAGAGAGAGTATGTGTGCATGAAGTTGGTAGGGGAAAGTTATGTGGAACAGAGGAGGTTCTGGAGGGGAGAGAATAGGGGTACATTGAATCCAAATGTACTATATCCATGTATGACTGTTACATAAAACATTTTAAAATCCACAAAATTGCAGAACCTCCAGAAAAGAACATAGGGGAGCCTGTATAATCTTGGGAGGACACTATTGCCAAGCATAGGCCCAGAAGCCATAAAGTACAAGCAAAAGATTTGCCATATTAAGACAGGAACCATTTGTGATACAAAAAAAAGCAAGGTCCTAAAGGAAGCTGATTGTGGAGATTGGCTGAGGAAGACTCACGGTGTTGATCTCTGCCTCCACATGTAGATATGTGGGCACACACTTCTGCACGTGTAAGTATTCACCATACACACCACATGCACACACACATGCACACACACATGCACACACATGCACACACACATGCACACACACATGCACACACACTCGTGAGGGCGTATGCATGCGCGCGCTTGCACACACACATATACACGTACACCTCCCCCATCCGTCCCTCCCTCCCTCCCTCTCTCTCTCTCTCTCTCTCTCTCTCTCTGTCTCCAAGGTCTTCACTGACCGTGAATTTGGCTAGAATGAATGGTCAGCATGCCACAGGCGCCCGCCTCCTCTGTCTCTGGAGCACTGTGCACACACTGTCATGCACGGCTTTTTACATGGATGCTCTGGATAAGAATGCAGGGCCTCAGGCTTGCACAGAAAGCACTTCAGTAGCACAGTTATCCACATACCTACCCCACCACTTGTGTATTCTTGTTAATCCTCCAATGCTGAACATAGGGCAAACATTTTTTAAAGATTTATTTGTTTGTTTATTATGCATACAGCGTTCTGTCTGTATGTGTGCCTGCAGGCCAGAACAGGGCACCAGATCTCATTATAGATGTTTGTGAGCCATCATGTTGTTGCTGGGAAATGAACTCAGGACCTCTGGAAGACCAGCTAGTGTTGTTAACCACTGAGCCATCTCTGCAGCCCTAGGACAAACATTTTTTTCAGACTATCACATATCTCCCAGCTTTCTTTAGGACTTGGTTTATTTATTTATTTATTTTTGGTTTTTTGAGACAGGGTTTCTCTGTATTGTTTTGTAGGCTATCCTGGAACTCGCTCTGTAGACCAGGCTGGCCTCAAACTCACAGAGATCCACCTGCCTCTGCCTCCCGAGTGCTGGAATTAAAGGCATGAGCCACCAACGCCCCGCAGGACTTGGTTTATTTTCAAGTAATCTTACTTATGTTTTGAATGGGTAATTCATGAAAATGCATTCATAAGTAACCTTCCCTCTATTTTGTATCCTATTTCTCCTTTGATTTTTTTTCAAGACAGGGTTTCTCTGTGGCTTTCGAGGTTGTCTTGGAACTAGCTCTTGTAGACCAGGCTGATCTTGAACTCAGAGATCCGCCTGCCTCTGCCTCCTGAGTGCTGGGATTAAAGGCGTGTGCCACCAATGTCCAACCTGTTTTTTTTTAAAGAGGTTGTCATGTGACCCACAACTCTCTATGTAGCTATGGTTGGCATTCATTTTTTAATCTTCCCACATCTACATACAAATGCTAGCATGGCAGATATGCACCATTGGTTTCTGTTCTCTTCCTTGTGATACTCTTTAGATATTAAAGAATTATTCAGAGTGGCTGGGAAGATGGTTCAGTGTTTACAGCACCTGCCATGCAATGTGAGGTCTACAGTTCAGATCCCTAGAACCCAAACCAAGGATCAATGAGTATGACTTCTTGTAATTCCAGTCTCAGAAGGCAGACAGGAGATGACCAGAGCAAGCTGGCTGGCAAGACTACCCATAGCAGCAAACTCTGTGTCTGACTGAGGGACCCCGCCTCAATGAATTTGGTAGGAGAGCAAGCGAAGGGTTTCTGACATTAACTTGGGAATGTTACATGTGAGCAGGTGCTCTTAACCATGAAGTCATTCCTCTAGCGTCTACATTATTACATGCCAGAAGAGGGCACCAGATTGGATTACAGATGGTTTAGATGGTTGTGAGCCACCACGTGGTTGCAGAAGAGGGCACTGGATTGAATTACAGATTGTTGTGAGCCACCATGTGGTTGCTGGGAATTGAACTCAGGACCTCTGGAAGAGCAGTCAGTGCTCTTAACCTCTAAGCCATCTCTCCAGCCCTTCTTGTTGTTGTTGTTTTTTTTTCAAGACAGGGTTTCTCTGTGGCTTTGGAGCCTGTCCTGGAACTAGCTCTGTAGACCAGGCTGGCCTTGAACTCACAGAGATCCGCCTGCCTCTTCCTCCGGAGTGCTGGGATTAAAGGGGTGCGCCACCAACGCCCGGCTCATTATTTCCTTTTAAGAGTTTGTTGCTGCCGGGCATTGTTTTGTTTTCCTAAACAGAGTTTCTCTGTATAGTCTGTCCTCAAACTCAAGAGATCCAGCCTGGAAAAAACAAACAAACAAACAAACAAACAAACAAACAAGCAAGCAAAAAAAGGGACACAACTGCTCCTAGGTGCGGTGGAGGAGCAGGTTTATTGTAGATACGAGGAAGAGCACAGCCAGAGGCAGAGACATCTGGGAGAGTTCAGAGTGGATGTAGTCAGATGTTTCTTTGGGCTGCCAGCTCACAAATAACGGCACAGTGACTTACTATTTTTTTTTTTCGAGACAGGGTTTCTCTGTGGCTTTGGAGGCTGTCCTGGAACTTGCTTGGTAGTCCAGGCTAGTCTCGAACTCACAGAGATCCGCCTGCCTCTGCCTCCCGAGTGCTGGGACTAAAGGCGTGCGCCACCAACGCCCGGCGTGACTTACTATTAATGATGAAACCTTGGCCTTAGTTTAGGCTTGTCCTACTAGCTCTTATAGCTGAAATTAACCTGCTTAATCTACATTTTACCATGTGGCCTTTTATCTTTCTTTCATTCTATATGTTCAACTCCCTGTTGGCATCTCACCTGTAACTTTGATCATCTCCTTCTACTTCTGTCCCTGCCTGGAAGTCCCACCTATGCCTCCTGTCTAGCTCTTGGCCATTCAGCTCTTTATTAAATCAATCACAGCAATTTATCTTCATATAGTGTAAAAATATCCCACAACAAGTGGGCATGACTGAACAGGGCCATGTGAGGAGAGGAGGGAGGGGAGTCAGTAGGTCAGGAGACCTTGTAGCCAAAACATCTGGGTTATATAGGAATCAGAGAAGCAGGAGGAAGGGTAGCTGTTAAGGTAGGAGAGAGGATATGGCAGCCAGGAGGACCAAGTGACAGGTAGGGACTGAGGGAGACTGGTGGCCAGAGTCTGCTTTGATTTGTTAATAGGCACCTTAGCTATTTGTCTGGGGTTTGAGATGTAACATGTGTCCCTAGTCTTTATTGATTTGATTGACTGAGACAGGGTTTTACTCTGTAGCCCAGGTTGGCCTAGAATTTAGATGCTGGGATTACAAGCATGAACACCACATCTGGGCAATTGTACACAAATGTTTTCTTCAAATGTCTATATTCAGAGCCTCAGAATGATCTTTGAACCAACTTTATACTGATTTATACTTTGACAAGCATTTATTGTGAATGACACATGTACACACACACACATACACATACATGCAGATACAGACGACATATACATATTACAATGCCACACTCTTTCCTTCATTGAGCTTTTCACATTTTTCTTATCCTTGCAAGTCACCTTGAATTTCTTCTGGTGCAACCTTCTGCGTCTTATTCAGAGTTTTGTTATTAATATAAATTCTATACGAACCTATAATATTCCTTTCCGTTTCTCTGTTTCAAAAACAAAGCGTGGTTGTCTTGGCTTTAAGGTACTCTGGATACCTAGGCAGGAATTCAATCTATAAAGAAGAAAGTCTCCCAGACCACATGACATCATTTCCCGTGCACACGTCATGTAGCCGTCACTCAATGCTTCCGCCCTCTTCAGACATGGCTGGTAAGCGCTCTCCACACCGCAACCATGGCTGTTCTTTCGTGTAGTTGCCATACTAAGTACATACCAGTCTTCTTTAGGCAGATAATCGCGGCGGAGAAGATCCAGCAGGACAGCAAGGAGGCCCATAGGCTACCGCCCGCAGTAACAAGCGCGGACCGGAAGTTCCGCGTCCTCGTTGTCCGGGGGAGCCGTTAGGCACGCACGCCGGAAGTGGCCAATCGGCCCGTCTGAGGCGGTGCCCACTGTGTTCGCGTCCCTCGGGCAGCGGAGCCATGGAGCCCGGGGCTGCGGAGCTTTATGACCAGGCCCTGCTGGGCATCCTGCAGCACGTGGGCAATGTCCAGGACTTTCTGCGCGTGCTCTTCGGCTTTCTCTATCGCAAGACCGACTTCTACCGTCTGCTGCGCCACCCCTCGGACCGCATGGGCTTCCCGCCCGGGGCCGCGCAGGCCCTAGTGTTGCAGGTGAGGTGGGGAGCGAAGGGCCATTGAGGTCCTGCAGGACCTTATTCCGGTTCTGCCTCCCGGCGCCAGACCCGCTGCTGGCTCGCGTCCTACGCCTCTGACCAGCGCCACTCCTCATTCCAACCCTTCAGATTTTGCGGTTCTCCCTGAGGTGCCAAAGGTGATTGTGTGTACGTGGTCAGGCATTGTCTGGGGCGCGAATCCGTTGTCAGCGATGCGCGCTGCTTTGGGAGCAGCCTGGGTTTATGCGGGACGTTCGTAGGTGTTGCAAGCTGTCAGCCTGCCTTTGAGGGCCTCTGAGCATCCTGTGGACATCCCGAGAATGGTGCAGGGGTGTTTGCTAGACTGTATTAAAACCGTGGAGGCGGGAGGGGAAGGACCTTCACAGCGGCAGAAACTTGACTATTTCAGAACTCCCGGGCTCGGGAGATGGCAAGGATGACCGGTATGTATTGATTGGTGGGTGTGGCCGCTTGCCAGTGACTTACGAAGGTTAGTACAATCGAAATGATTATGAAGTTTACATTTGGATTTAAATCTGTACGTCCCAGGTTAAATTTATTGTTTTTGAAGTGTTACTAATTACCGACTGAAGTTTCTGGACACCTTTTTAAAGTTGTTTTGTTTTGGGACAGGGTTTTGCTAAGTAGTGCAGGTTGGCTTGATACTTGCCAGGTAGACCAGGATGTCTTTGAATTTAAGGTCCACCTTCCTCTGACTCTCCAGCGTTGGGATTGTTGACATTGCTGAGCGTAGTTATAAGCAAACTTTTAGCTGGGCAGTGGTGGTGCAAGCTTTTAGTCCCAACACTTGGGAGGCAGAGACAGGTGAATGTGAGTTCAAGGCCAGCCTGGTTTACAAGGCCAGTTCCAGGACATGCTCCAAAGCTACACAGAGAGAAACTCTGTCGTGGGGGGGGGCAAATATTTAATAAGTATATTTAACACTCAGCTGTAATATTGGCTCTGATATGGGTATTTAAATAATGGTCTGTCTACTCATGACACGGTTCAGAAAATAAAGCACAAAAGCCAATGGAGAACTGTGCTCGTTCTTTGTGTGGTAGAGCTGTTTGGAAGGAAGGAATAGAGATGATAGTTACGATTTGAGGAAGTGTTGCAGGAAAGGTTAATTTTTGGTGAGATTAAAGTATTGCTGGGAAGCCGGGCGTTGGTGGCACACGCCTTTAATCCCAGCACTTGGGAGGCAGAGGCAGGCGGATCTCTGTGAGTTCGAGGCCAGCCTGGTCTACAAGAGCTAGTTCCAGGACAGCCTCCAAAGCCACAGAGAAACCTTGTCTCGAAAAACCAAAAAAAAAAAAAAAAAAAGTATTGCGGGGGGGGGGGGGTATGCTTTGGCTTGCCATTCATTAATCCCTGCACTCGGGAGGCAGAGGCGGGTGGATCTACAGAGTGAGTTCCAGGACAGTCAGGGCTGTTACACAAAAAAGTATTGATGGGAGCGCCCGGCTTGCCCATTAGAATCTGATTCTCTAGTGCCTGCAAAGTGCTTCCTGCCACCTCTGAAGTCTTACAGTCTGTGGACTTATCAGCTTATCAGCTGTTACTCTCCTCTGCTCCTCAGCGGAAGAAGCAAAGTTTAGGATGTTCTAAGAGCGGTCAGCACAATAGTGAGGCATTGGGGGGTGGGGGTGTTTGATGACTCTGCTCGTTTTGGAATGGAAACTGATGAGTTACTGGAGAACTCAGCCTCATCAGTGGCCCAAGTGCCATTTGAGTAATTGGAGAGTGTGAGAGGTGGCCGAAATGGAACCTTATGTTCTTTATAATGAAGTCTCGCCACTTGATCTCCACAGTCTCTCCGAATTTGACTTGCCAGATCAGCATGGTTAAATGATGGGACAAGAGCTTCACTAAGCTATTTCCTCATAGCTGGAACTCATGACTTCAGTTTTCTGATTCCAGATCTTTCTCTTCTGATATTTAACCATTCCATAGTAGGATAGAAACTTCTATTTTGGTTGTAGAAAGGTTTGGAGAAGAAAAGATTGTATCCCTGTAGCTGGTGTTTGACTTTCTGGTGTCATACATCTTATTTTAGCTTTAATACACTTTGAGGGGTTGGCTCTTGCTCCCCTGATGAACTCACAGAGGTAGTGCCTGTATTCACCCTGTAACCATGAAACAGCTACCTCTTAAAGAGGTTACAGTGTGGTGACTATTCTCTTTGAGGTAGGGAGCAGGAGCAGAGGAAGGGGAAGGCCAGCCTGGTCTACAGAGTAAGTTCTAGGACAGCCAGGGCTAGTGCACAGAGAAATCCTGTCAAACTCTTTTAAAAAAATACATATTCTTGAATATTTTCATTGGGTAGATCATAGTGAGTCTGATTTTTAAAAATTTATTTTTGTAATTTACAGAGTCTTTGGTAAGAGGCTTGTAAGGTGGGTTCATTATTGATAAGGGAGTGTTACTAATTGTCAGTCAGATGAATCACACAGCATTATCTCATTTTTACTCACCTGCTGTTTTTTTGCTCATGATTCAGATCCTAAGATTCCTACCTGTGACTTACTCTCTCCAACTGTGATACCCAGAGTCTCTGTGATTATCGGTAGAGAAAGTTTGGTTGTGTTTTTGTGGAACTTGAGAGTGTCCTGCTGGTATTTTGGGGAGTGGACTGTTGTTGTATGTGCTCTTTGTTTTTGTTTATTTTGGTCAGCACCTAGAAGGTGGTAGTTTCTTTCAGTTGAGGAAGTCTGCAGGGCATTTTCTTGGTTAATGATCGAGTGGGAGGGCCCAGCTCACTGTGGCGGTGTCATACCTGGGCAGGCTGCTCTGGGCTCTGTGAGAAAGCAGGCTTAGCAAGTCGGTAGGTATCATTGCTACAGCATCTGCTTTAGTGTCTGAGTTCCTGCTTTGACTTCTCCTGATGGTGGACTGGAACCTCTAAACCAAGTAAACCCTTTCTTCCCCAAGTTGCTTTTTTTGATCATGATGTTTTTATCGAAGCAATAGAAAGCAAACAGATACGGTGCTGTTGGTGTAAGGTGTCTTACTTTTTTCCTTCTAAGTTTCTTTTCTTTTCTTTCTTTTTTCAAGACAGGGTTTCTCTGTGTAACAGCCCTAGCTGTTCTGGAACTCGCTCTGTAGACCAGGCTGACCTCAAACTCAGAGATCCACCTGCCTCTGTCTCCTGAGTGCTGGGTTTAAAGGTGTGCGCCACCACCTTCTAAGTTCTTATAGCAGGAATGAAATTTGTGAAAATCTTGTTCTGTTCCATTATTAGAAAATATTAAGAAAAAAGTAGTTTTGTTTGCCATGTCAGTCCTTGTAAGAATCCCTGTTTAGTGGAAGTCTTTGGTAAGGAGAATCAAACCAGGGAGGCACCTGTATCTTACTCCTTGTAACTTGTTGGAAAAGCTTAGGCAAGTCAGTTTACCTTGTCCTCTGAGGTAGCTTATTGAAGGTCACGGGTATCTATTCTGGGCTAGGACTCCGACTTGAGCCAGGTGAGTCTGTGAATGTGTGGCAGCTGGCGCTCTGGAGTGGCCTGAGGTCTGGGTGGTGCAGAGGGCAGGTGGCAGAGGCTCAGCGTGCCAAGCGTGAAAGGCCTCAGGAGGGATGAGGGCTCTCTCTCAGGCCTTGGTTTGGAGCAGCCTGTCGTAGCAGTCTGTGGCTACGGGAGAGACTCCTAAGTGCCCACTTTTGTAGTTAAGTTGAATGTCTGAGTGGTTTTGAGCACAAAGGACTCAGATACTTGTTAGCATGGACGCTGGAGAGAAGCTAGTCAAACTAGTTACCTGTGGAGCAGAAAAGATTCTGGGCTTGTCGGTAGGTGTTTTGTTCTGTTTTTGGAGACAGGATCTGAATGTATACCCGTGGCTGGGCTGGCACTCGATATGTATCAATCACCGTTTATACCAAGCTGGCCTGGAACTCTGAGATCCGCCTGCTTCTGCCTCCTGGGTGCTGGGATTGAAGGTGTGCGCTAGCATGCCTGGCCTTTGTCTCCAGTTTCCGCCTTTAGGGTTTTATTTCATTTTATCTCTGGTTATATTGCCTTTTACCGTTGTGTCCTGTGTAACTTTTCACTGTCTCCTTTGACTGACAGGCCATGGTAAGTTACTTAACCTGTCTGAACCTGATTCTCCTCATTTTCGGATGTTGGTGGTCTTTTTCACAGGTTTTTTTGTGAGAGCTTTGAGACTGTAGAAGCACGAAGTATAGTTTGTGTATCAGCTCCTGTCTTTAGTTTTGTCTTCTAAGCAGTGCTCAGACACTGCCAGTGAATGCTTCGTGCCTCAGCCCTGTGGAATCGGTCATTCCCACCCACACCCCAGGTCACTCCCACAGCGTCTCTACCTCTGCCTCATGCAGGCTTCTTGCTTTTTCTTGGTGATCCTACTCCTTGGAGCTGTGGTGGTTTCTCCAGTGGCCCTTATGGAAGACATACTCCTTCTTTACCCAGCCCTTTAGATGTAACTTTAATGGTTCCAGTACTCCCCTCCCCTCCCCTCCCCTCCCCTGGCTTCCCCTCCCCCTCCCCTCCCGTCCCCTCCTGTCCCCTCCCCTCCTCCCCCTCCCCTCCCCCAGCTATCTTTTTTGTTTTTTTAAGCCTGAATTGCTGGTACCTTCCTCATGAATCCACAGTACCAGGATAGTGTGTTCTTCACATTGCTGATAAGGTTGGTAAAAGTAATGACAACTACAGCTGTTTAGCATTGTATCTTCTAGGTTTGCAAGTATTGTTAACTTAGGCTTGTTTTTGATTTTGTTAAAATCCTTCTAGAGAAGGAGCAGTTCCTACCAGCTTCTGGTGAAGTGTGGAACATTTCCGTTTTGCTTTGGTTCACTGTTGTCTGACTCTGTCCTTGGTAGATCTTGTTGTCTTTCTATTTGATGTCTGTAACGGGGCAGGTGAACTGATTGTTGGATTGATGCTTCATATTTAGGTCTTTAAAACATTTGATCACATGGCTCGCCAGGATGATGAGAAAAGGAAGAAGGAACTTGAAGAGAAAATCAGGAAAAAGGAAGAAGAGGCGAAGGCTGTGGCAGCTGCTGCAGCCGAGAAGGAAGCCGTGCCAGTCCCCGTGCAGGAGGTGGAGGTTGATGCCGATGTAGAGCCGAGTGGCCCACAGCAGCCTGAGCACAAGGTGGCGCCTGGCTTGGAGGAGGCAGACGCTCCAGGGACTGTTAGCAGTGCTGCCGAAGGCCCTAAGGAACCCCCAGTGCTCCCCAGGTAGGAACGGCTCCTCTGCAGTGTCCTTTCTCTGCTCCAGTTAAGTTTGCCTATGATTTGTGTGGTTTGTAAGATAACAGTTCTGTTTTGGTGGGGCGGTGGTTAAATAACAGAAATGTACTTTCTAATAGTTCTGGAGACTAGAAATCCACCGTGAAAGTGCTGTCTGGACTGTTTGTCCTAAGGCCTCTATCAGTGGCTTGCGGATAGTCATCTTCTAGTGTCGTCCTGTGTTTTCATGTTCCTGTGTGCTTGCCCGGGTCTTAACCTCCTGTTCTCAAGCTGCCTCCGACACACTAGTGTCAGACTGCCTTGCATCCAAGTGCTTCAGGGACCTTCTCAAGGTGTCAGGCTAGGTGGTAGACAGCTTTACCTGTTAAACTGTCTTGGCGGCCACCTAAAGTGTAATTTTAATAGACTCTGAATCATTCCTAGAGCAAATGTTGACTTGTTTGGAACATTTCTGGGAAAGAGTTTTTCTTTCTGTCACTGAACTTTGTAAATTAGCACCTGACTTATGGACCTGTGGACACCACGTGAGTCTTCATTCAGAACCACGTGTCTGAGCTGCTGGCTCCTCCTCAGCTGAGCAGTCACTGCACACGGCTCCAGCTCCAGGCTCGACACCACTTCTTACCTTAGCATCTATTAGCTTTCTCTGTAACCTGCACTACAGCGCTTCAGTTGCATATTTGGGTGCCCATTTAGCTTTAGTCTTCTTACTTTTCCACTGTTTGAGACAAGTTAGTGTTCTGTTCACAGTCACGCAGCCAGTTGAGGGTCAGAGCCAGAATTAGAGCACTTGTTGCTGTATCTGTGTGTGGGCTGAGGCACAGCATCTTGATTTTGGTTTGGATCAGTGTTGAGCATTTAGCCTAGAGCTTCACATGTGCTAGGCAGAGCATCCACTGCTGAGGAACATCCTCAGATCTTGAATCTTAATGTTCTTCTCCCTTCAAGAACACTGCTGAATGGATGATTTCTCCAATCCCCCCCAACCCACAGACTAATGTATGTCTGAAGAACAGCTTAATGTAGGGCCTCAATTTGTAGCCTACCCCTGCCACTTTGTAGACATGTTATTCTGGGCAATAACTCCTCACGCCCTGCTGCTGCTGCTATTTTGGTTTTGTGTGCATGGGTGCTTCGCTGCATGTGCGTCTCTGTGCTGCATGCATGCAGTGCTGTCAGAGCTTGACAAGGGTGTTAGTCACATTTGGGAACTGCCGTGTGATTTCTGGGAATTGAACCCGGGTCCTCTGGAACAGTAGCCATTGCTCTTAACTTCTGAACCCTCTGTCTAGCTCACTTCTCTGAGGTTCTTTAAACCTCTCTTGTAGAGCTTTTGTGAGTTTTAAAGGAGCTAAGAGTCAGGCATAATCAGTGGCAGAGCTTGAGTATAAAGCATTTGTCTGCATACTCCTCATGGTGTGCTGCTCACTTTCTGGGAGTTGAGTGCACCTTGCCCTTCCCAGTGAGGAGAGTGGGTCCTCCTAGTGAGGCTGTGGCGGTGTCTGCTGCTGGCTTGTCTCTTTTCTAGATAGATGTATGTACTCTTTCCTTTTTGACAGGCTTGCTGCTTTCATCTGCTGCTTCTGTTCTGTTCTTCCTCTCGTTCTCTAACCTGTTTTTGGAGCGAGTTTAGTTTCCATTTAGTGAAGCAAAGTAAACACTTGGAATGGCTTATTACTGAGTAGGTAAAAATCAGTTCTGTAAAGATACTAAATAAGGAGTTCAGAGAAAACAATTGTTGGATGTGTGAAGAAGTTGATGGAGAAAGGGAAGCTGGTCTTGCATGTGGGGTTCTAAAAGAAAAGGAGGTGATAAAGGTTTGGAGCCAGTTCTTTGGAAAAGTCTTCCCATGTGTCTATGTGTCTATATCTATAATCCTAACACTTAGAGGTAGAGGCAGGAGGATCGTTTAAGTTTGAGGCCAGCCTAATTTACATAAAGAGTGTAAGGCCAGCCTGGGCTATAGAGTAAGCACTGTCTCAAAAATGAAACAAAAAATACCTTACATTGTTATTGTATACAACAAAACATAATTTGCCTGTCTGTTTATAAAGTGATCTTGAAGATTGCTGATGTTGATATTGTGAGAGTCAGTTTTCTTTTAGTCAGTGAAGGTTTACATGGGCTTCAGAGACCAACACTTTTCCTTGCTGCTCAGGTTAGACTTCTGCTTTGCTGACATTCAGTGCTTAGTACTTCAGCATCTTATGCTTCAGCTGTTCAGTGAGTAGATTAACTACGAGTTGAGGCATAGTCTATAGCTGCAGCTGAAACAGTATTTCTGCACATCTGAAAATGGGGTGTCAAAGGCTGCCTGTCCTTTTCTGTGTTCCACCTGGAACGGAATCCTAAGTTCCACCAATTTAGTTATCTATGGTCGATGTGAAGATTGGCCACTGTGTCAGTTAAGTAACTGAAGAATCCTCTGGGGACAGCACCAAGGTGCCTCCCCTTCTGAGAACTTTTTCCATAGTCTGTTTCCCCAGGATCTGAAATTTTGACCACTGATTTCTTTCTTTTTTATCCCCCCTTTTTTTTAGACAGGTTTTAGTGTAGGATGACCTTGAACTCTTGACTTTTTCCACCTAAATGCTTGGATTGCAGGTGTGTGCCCCAATGTCTGGCTTTGTTTACTCTTTCTTCCCATACTCCCTTTTTTTTTTTTTTTTTTTTGCTGTTTCTGATGGCCTGTGTTAGACATTTGCTGCTGTTCTGTACAGCTTTGACAGATATCTTCTCTCTGATTCAGTAAAGCTCCATGCCATGCTTATTTAACAAAATTTGGCATACGTGCTGGGGGAAAGAAAAACAGGATAATAAACAATGTATTTATGGTTGGCATATGCTTTTTTTTTTGTTTTTTTCGAGACAGGGTTTCTCTGTGGCTTTGGAGGCTGTCCTGGCACTAGCTCTTGTAGACCAGGCTGGTCTCAAACTCACAGAGATCCACCTGCCTCTGCCTCCCAAGTGCTGGGATTAAAGGCGTGCGCCACCAACGCCCGGCTGGCATATGCATTTTTATTTTAAGTTGTTTATTAGTGTGTATAATACACTGTTTGGGGAGTTTTTGTTGTTGCTTCTGGTTTTGTTCGTTTGGTTTTTGAGATAGGTTCTCACTGTGGTAACCCTGGTTGGCTTGGAACTCACTATGTAGACCAGCTGGTCTCAACTCACAAAGATTTGTTTGCTCTGCCTCTCCTTGCTGGGGTTAAAGGGGTGTGCCACTGTGCCTGGCTATTAAACTTCATGTTTTTGTGTGTATTTAACACTTCCTCACAGCCAAAAGTCTGGGAAGCAATCATTTGTGTCTTTTGAAACATAATTTACCTAGCAGTGCAATGAACTCTCTTTTGGAGTACAGTTTATGACATGTGTCATCATCACAGCCATGACAGAGATATTTGCATTAGCTCGGACTGTGCAGTGCTTCTTCCAGTCCTCAGGCCCTGCAACCTTGCACAGTGCTCTGCCTTTAAAAAAAAAAAAATATATATATATATATATATGTATACACACACACACACACATATATATATGTGTGTGTGTGTGTGTGTGACATGTCAGTGCCACAGCACATGGAATTAGTTCTTTCCTTACATCATATGGGTGCTGGGGATTGGACTCAGGCTGTCAGGTTTAGTGGCAAGTGCTCTACCCAACTGAGCCATTTTGTGGGCACTTGCGAATTATTTTTTCAATTTTCGTTATTTTCTTTTTGCTTTGGAGATGAGTCTTGCTGTCTAGCCCAGGTTGTCCTCAACCTTGTGTGATCCTTCTGCTCCACCTTCCAAATGTGAGGACTACAGGTATGTACCACCACGCCTGGCTACAGTATACGTTTCCCGTACGGATAGTGATGTAGAGCTTTTACACAGAAAGCTACAAGTGCAGGGATCTTGGGGTGATTCAGGGGATGTCTGAAGGGAATGATAGTTGACCTCATGGTGCTCTCTGTTACTATTTCCCCACTAATGGGCTGCAGTTGTCCTGAGTCTCTTTGTTGCTCTCAGCCCACTTTCCCCGCTGGCATACACCAAGTGAAGGTCAGGGATTCTCCAGGGATGAGCCTGGCACTCGCCTTTAGTTCCCGCTGCGTGACAGGCTGTGGTGGAGAAATTGCTTGAGTGTGCAAGACCAGTCAGCCTGAGCAGCACAGTGAATCCCATCTAAGGAGTGAGGAAAGGAAGAAACAAAGGAAAAGAAGTGCTGGGGCCCCAACACCCACTCATTTCCCACCCATTTGGGTACAAAAAATGTTCTGGTTGTGCAAGACTGTAAAGTACATTGCAGTTCGAGGAGCTGTCCATAGTAAGTACTGCTTTTGTTTCTTTTAAGTCTCCGTGTGGGTGTTGTAAGTGACCAGAGCCTGTGGACATGACTAGTGCTGTGGACAGAAGGTGCATACAGCTTCCCACATGTCTCTTGCTAGTCACAATCACCCTTTTAAGTTGCCTGTTTGGCTCACCTCTTGGCTTCATCCCAGTTGGCAAATCTGGGTTGTGTTTTTCTCAGAGCCGAGCTATCAGAGAAAGCACCTGCAGTTCCGGCTCTCCACCCGCAGGTGTTGCTACAGGCAGTGGAAAAAGCTGTGGTTGGGTCTGGGGATGCCATGAAAGAATCTTGACAGCATGTGGCAGTTCTGTTTTTCCTTGTGAAATCATGAGCAGAATTCCTTGTAAAGGAAGGAAGGGGGGGGGGGGGGAAGTAGCAATAAGAATATAAGTTATCTGGTGCACGCCTTTAATCCCAGTGCTTGGGAGGCAGAGGCAGGTGGAGTTCTTGAATTTGAGGCCAGCCTGGTCTACAGGGTGAGTTCCAGAGCAGCCAGGGCTACAAACTCAGTCTCTGTGTGGGGGAAAAAAAGAATATAAATTATCACCCAGGCATGGTGAGTCTACAGCTGGTCTAGGCTATGTAGTGACATAGTGAAACTCTTATCTTATAAAAGCAAAACAAAACAGAAAAACTATAACCAGATAAACAAAAGG